GCCCATCCGGTTTGCACTTTCCTTGGCAAGACTCCTAAAAGCTTATTAAGCATTCACACAAACACAGCAACGTCCTAGCCCTGTGCACGGATTAACCCACCGAATCATCCCAACAACCTTCCAAGGCCCAGGGAGGTCAAGCAATTGGTTCATCATAACAACACATCTGCCAAACCCCGAGCTAAATTTCAAACCAGACAGCCTAGCTCCAGAATGGACCTGCACAGTACCTCTTCCTCCCTTCTTCCTCGGTTCCCTGACCTTTGTATAATGGGACCATGCATTTCAGCTGAAAGTGAAGGTTCCATTAGCCAACACCACCAAGATACACCATGCCAGAGGCCGGTTCAGTCTCCCCGTAGCTCAGGCAGCACTCAATGGTGCTCCTGACATGGCGGTCATAATGCAGGATTTCTCTCAACCCATTGTTACTCTCTCTCCCTGGGCCAAGAAGCCAAAGAACATTCAAAAAACAGTCTCCAAAAGGACTCTCTTTTTTGCACCCCTGGAGGCTGCCCTTTAGGTGATGAAACCTTAATCAGGTAGCCGTCATCACAAAAAAATGTACCAGCCTTTCACCAAGAACCAGTAAGGACAGGACAGCTCACAAGGGCCCATTATCCCCCATGGTTCCTAAGTGGGCATTGCGATTAATGCATTTAACCTGCTATTCAGAGGAACACCCCATAGTAAGAGGCAGTAATTACTGAATAGTGAATAGGTACATGAAAAACCAAAGCGTTCTCCTGCAACACTTTGATTCCCAGAGTCTTTATGCATTGTGACTTTTATAGGTCCACAGTAACTTAAGTACCGCAGAGGTGTGGGAGACAGAAACCCCAATTTTCAGAAAGCCAGAAGGCTCCAAGAGCTTGTTCACAATCACGTGGATCAACTCTGTGAACCACATGTATTATTTACCATGTGTCAGACTGTGCTAAGAACACAATATACAAAAAATGTTCCTTATTGAACTGGAAGACTAAACATAAAAGGACAATTATCTTGCAATCAGAAAAGTGAGAGGCAGGCAGGCTGCCCAGAGGAAGTGACACTGGAGTTAGGTCTTGCGGTCCAGGAAGGTATTTTCCAGTGGGAGGAAAGAGCGTAGGACACATTCAGGTCTGGAGTGAGCGGTCTTTGCAGAGAACTGCACGGCAGGTATTGAAGCCCTTGTCTGCTGTCCTAGGGAAATTGTCTGCTGCAGGGAACGAGGCAACGTCCAAAGTTTGGAAGAAGGGTCTGGACATGTGCAGATCTGTGCTTTCAAGAGCCAGCCAAGGAGTGATGGCAAGGCTGGCCTGGTCAGGGCCAGCAGCTCAGGAGCCAATGCCTTAGTGAAGGCAGAGGCGAGTGACTTGCCTCAGGCAGCAGCTGCAAAGGGGCAGGACTGGGGGCTCTTTAGACAGCTCAGGAAGCCATGGGCGCGGCTTCTGATGAGACCTAGAGAGGAACGCAGAGGCTGCCAGAGGGTGGGGATGCCCTTAGCTGAGGAAGGGGAGCGACTGGAGGGGCCCAGAGAGCAGAACTAACAGCTCCACGTGTTGGCCGCATGTGAGGCCATCACTCTCCTCAGCTCCCATACTTCGCAGAATCAGCTCAGGATAGCAGGGAAGAGATGCACTCCAGGCCACCCAGGGCCATCCCTGGGGGGCCCATGCCAACTCCACACTTCACTGAGTACAGGGGACTGTGGTCACACCAAGGTCACTTTATTCATCACTCTCTCCCTCCTGCCCAAAGCATGGGCATCTTTCCCTGGGGTTCCCTTGCAAAAGAACTCCTCCTCCACCCTCCTTGCTCCCCACCACTGCACCTCACCCTTTAAAGTATTCCTCTCCTGGGACTCTTTGTCCACTCCCATCGCACATGGCGCCCTGCTAGAGGGCAGAGCAAAGGGCAACTAACTAAGGTGGGGGAACCCATGCACCAAGCCTGGCTCACCCACGGCTGACTGCCAGAAACTGCCCGACCTGGGCCTCAGAAGACAGGAAATGCACGTTAACTTCTGCTTATCTTGAAGGATTACTGTAGAGAATGGAATGAAAGAAAGAGCTTGCATACAACACCAGCAAACAGCAGAAAGGGGTGCTGCAGGTTACGCAGCACAACTGACCCCTGGACAGTGAGCTCCTTGAGGACAGGGGCCAGGTGGGTGGGTCTCCCACCTACTCATTCCCACACAGAGAGCCTGCCTGACAGCAGACGGGGAACTGCCTGCCCAGACCAAGACCCTCAGCTGCAGGCCAGGGAGCTCTTGCCTCCCCACCCCACCACGCTCACACCCCACATGCAGGGAGCCCACAGTACCCCACTCTGGGAAGCCCTACTCTCCTCCTGGCTCATTCCAAAACCAGCCAGCTCCTGGAGGAGAACCAAGTGAGAGTCACGCTGCCTGGATGCCTCAGCTGCGCACGTTTGACCAAGCCTGGTTCTACCCCTTCTCTGAGGAAGTTCCAGAGAGCTGAGCCGCCGCCTGCCCGCCCCTTTCTCCTAGGGGCCCCAGCTGGGGCCCATGCTGCCCTCGCCACCTTTGTGCCCCGTGCGCGGCTGGGGTATTTTTTGCCCACAAGAGCTCGGCCGCCTCTACTGCTGTTTCATTGATGCCTTGAGCAGAGCTGGCATGTGCGACTGCTGAGAAGGGGGAGCGGAGCGGCGGGGGAAGCAAGTAAAAATAGCCTGGCGCGCGCCGCGCCGCCTGCTCCCGACGCCTTTAACCCTCGCGGGGTGGAGGCGCCAGCGCACGCGGCGGGAGCCAGCCAGGGTCTGCACAAACTGCGCGAAGGCGGGCCATCGGAGCCAGGGACACGCAAAAACTTTCTTTCTTTAAAAGCAAACGAGCCAGGGGTGGGGTGGGATGGGGCACCAGTGGGCCAGTGCCTTCAGCTCCCAGCGCGCCAGCCACCTGGCTTCGGAGCAGCTATTTTTGGAAACCTCTTCCGCCAGTGGGCGCGCAGAGGGCGGGGGGGCAGGGAAAGGCTGGGCGCCGAGCCCTGGTCTGAGTGGGGTGGGGACCCGCGCACGCGGCTTTGCCTGGACTCGGGAGCCCGCAGGAGCCCCGGCCCAGGGCGCGCTCCACAGGCGCGCCACCTCCAGTCCCGGAGGGCACCGGACTCAGCTCCGCTGACTGCCGTGGGGCTGGGTTAGCCGCGGAGCTGCGCACTCCAGGAGAGAGGACCGGGCAGGGTCCGGGCCCTTCCAGCGTTCCAGCAAGACGCGGAGCCACCCCGCACCCTACCCCACGCGCGCCACGCGCACGCGGTGGCCATCTGTGAACTGCGGCAGCCCGCAGACGCCCGGCTATTAATAGCGGCCCAGAGTTTGCTCCCGAGTCTTTTCCCTGCCGCCGAGTGAGGGCCGGGCGCACCTGGCCCACTCCGCCCCCACTCGGCGCTCCGGTCCTCCGGGAAGGTAAGGGGCTGTCCACGCCGATGCCTCCGAGGCCACAGGTGCCCAGAGCTCGAGGAACGGCCGGGTGGCCGCGACGCTGGCGGTGCGAGGCGGGAAGGGGCGCACCCGGAGCGCGCGGGACGATGCGCCCAGCAGGACTGCGGCTCGGCCCGCGGAGACGAGGCAGGGCAGCTCCGGCGGCGCGTCCGGCGCCCGACCCCCCCCCCCCGCTGCGGCAGCGCGGCCGCTGTCCTCGGTCCTGAAGCTCCGCGGCCCCGCGCCCCCCGCGCCACAATACTGCGCACCTCTCCGGCCTCATCTGGGCCGGGGGTCCGTGGGGTGTCCGAGTCCTACCACCGGCCAGGACCGCCTCGGGATCCGGGGGCAGAGCCCAGCAGCGGCCGGAGAGGCTCGCGGGGCTGCGTGCAGGGGCGGACCGGCCGGCACCGACCGGGACCCCGATGCCCAACGCGGCCGGGGGCGCAGCTCAGGAGGCGGGGGAAGGGGCAGGGCAGCGGGTGGCAGGAGAGCGAGCGTGCAGGGTGCGAGCAACTCCTGTGCGTTTTCAAGAGGGAGGGGACCTGAGACCTGCATCGTCCCCCCACACGTACACACGCACGCGCACACACACGCGCGCACACGCGCACACCCGGCCGGCGGCAGCCAGCAGGATGAAGCCGGAAAGTTTGGCACTCGGCGCGGGGCGGCGGCCTGGGCCGGGGGCGGGGGCTGGGCCGGGCCCGGCCGGGGCGGTGGCCGTGCGCCCCGGCGCCCGCTTACCTCGGCGCCCTCGGCGGCGTTCTCCGCCATCTTCCTCCGGAGGAGCAGGCAGCGGGAGGAGTGTTTCATGCCCATAAGCGCCAGCCAGGGTTCGGCGCCTCAGAGACAGCAGAGAAAGCGAGGGAGCTGGTGTCGCTTTAAAGGGAGAGCCGGGGATGGGCGAGGAAAAAAGCCGAGCGGAGCCCGGCCCTCCGCGGCGCCGACCGCGCGCCCGGCCGCGGCGAGTGCTCCCGCGTCTCCACTTCGCTTTCTCTCCTACGCCGGCTCCGCGCTGCTTCGAACACTTGCAAGTTCCCGGCGCCGACCCCTCCCGCCCCTCTCCACCCGCGCTGCGGGCGCGCAGGGGGAGGCGGCCCGC